GCACCAGGAAAAGTCCCGTCTCGGGTGGGTACAGCAGCCGTTCCGCCTGCTCCCGCGTGATCTTCCCGTGAAACCACCTGCAACGGGGCACGTAGGGCAGGTCAAGGACCGGGGATGCGCTGGCCTGACCCCCGTGGGGCCGTGTTTTGGGGGGGGGAGGGGGGGATGGGGACATGGAGCAGCCTTCATCCCTGCCTGCACGGGGCCGGCTTGCCTGTACTCCTCCTTGCTGCCCCCCGACAACACAGCTCCTTCCACGGCGTCCTGCTCCCCTCCTCCTGGTCCCCAACCCGGACTCAGCCCCTCCGCACACCCTTGGGGGCTTCCTCCCCACGGCAGCCCCGGCTCCTCCAGACTGGGGATCGTTGGTGGCTCTGGGATGCAGCAGGGACATCAAAACCATCTATCCATCCATCTACCTGCCTGCCTGCCTGCCTATCTCCTATCCCTCCCGTACAGACCCTGTTCCAACCCCCCTTCTTTCTCCCAGCAGCATTTACAACCACAACGTTGGGTAAAAGACCCATTTTGAAACGCAATCCAACCATCCATCATCTTCCCGGCTCTGCAGGCAGCTCCAAAGGTGCTCAGAGCTTTCCCCAGCTGCAGCGGGTCCCAAATCCCCGCCGCTGGGAAAGCCCAAGCCCCTGCCCCTTCTGCCTTTCAACCTCGCTAAGCCCTGCGAGGGACGTTGCTTCTGTTGGGACACGGGGTCAACCAGGTCTTTGGTCTGACACAGCGGGGATGCTCCAGACCGAGCCAGCTCCCCCCCAGATTCACCTCGGCAGAGCCCCGGCGGATACTCACGGCATGAGGCTGAGCTTGATCCCAGCTTTCACTCCTTCCCGCTTCTGCACGTAGTTAGCGGGGATGATGCCCTCCCGGCCCACCTTGTTCTTCGCCTTGTACCAATTGGGATCCTGGGGGACGGCAGAGATGTCACGATGAGCCTGTGGCCCCCGGCGACGGCAGCATCCCAGCCAAGGAGCCCACGGGGGCGTCAGCGCTGCCCCTCCTTCCCCAGCCAGCTGCCTGCGTGGCCCCAAGCACCCCGGCACCCCCTTGTTCTTCGCCTTGTACCAATTGGGATCCTGGGGGACGGCAGAGATGTCACGATGAGCCCCCGGCGCCCGGCGACGGCAGCATCCCAGCCAAGGAGCCCACGGGGGGCTGCCCCTCCTTCCCCAGCCAGCTGCCCTCGCTGCCCCAAGCACCCCGGCAC